ATCAACTAAGAGTAACAGAATGGGGGCTACCATATTTTTGGTCACCAGATACAACATGTAATGCAAATGTAGGAAGACGATTTTTGTCCAGTCACGGCAGCTGTCAAGTATTGAATGTCCCATGACGTGACACTAGCTTAGCATAGGGATGATGACAGGGTATGAAAATTAAAAATCTAATTAGTCCGTAAGTTAGGTAATGAAAAAATATTAGACACGTATTTTTTCATTTTGTCGTATAATAAAACAATACTTAGATAAAACGAATCAAAGTTTAGAAAAGGAAGCTATAACGTCATTTGTATGTATAAAATGTATGTACATAGAAGTGACGTCACGCGACATTTAAAACCAATATATCGTCGAAAGTATTCGTTTCTGTAAGAAATTAAAAAATACGTGTCTAATGATTTAAAATAATCTACAAGTCCGACATTAAAATAAAAATTAGGCATCTACCCTATTTCCTATTGGACGACGTACGAGAGTGTCACACTAGCGCCACTTGGACAGCAAAAATACCGTAGGCCCCAATAATTTAGTTATAAATTAATTGAGAAGATTAAAAACAGATAATAATTACTATCGGAGGATGAAAGGCGGAAAGCTGAGTACCTAATAATAGTAGACAAACTATTATATGTACTTTTTACTTTACAGCTGAAAGGAAATTCAAATGTGATCAGTGTGGAAGCGCATTTTTTACACTAACTGTCTTAAATTCACACATGAAACGTCACACAGCAATTAAAAAGTTTAAATGCGATCATTGCATCGCTGCTTTCGCCAATGAGAGAGAATTACGAAGGTGAGTTTTATAGAATTTACTAGCTGACCTGGCGAACTTCGTACCGCGTAATACTCTAACCTACTCTATCCCACTCTACCCTACTCTACTCTACCCTTCTCTACACTACTCTACCCTACTCAACCCTAATCTACCCTACTCTACCATACTCTAAGCTACTCTACCCTATTCTACTGTACCCTAATGAAAAATAGACTATCCTATCTCTCAAGTTGGATCGAACTGCACATTGTATGCGAATTTTATTATAATCGGTTAAGTGGTTTAGGAGTCAATTAAGGACAAACATTGTGACACGAGATTTATATATATTAATATTTTGTAAAGGACCTTTTTAGCTCCGTATAAGGTAAACCTATCGCTTAAACTGTCAAACACCAAGCGGTCACCGGTGACCGCAAGCTATTGTTCTATAATTGTGTCTACAAAACCGGTACTCGACGAGTTAATATAGGACTTCATTTGAAATGAAGATCACACAGCAGCAGAGAATCTGAATTTTCTTGAATTTATCGAAAATATCGATAAAACCGGTACTATGTGTATGTCACTTTGCTGTGAGTTACACAAAGACAAATTTGGCAAAAATATGGCACATTTCCTTTCGAGAAGTAAAAGGCGTGATGATATGCGTAAAATAAATAATTAAATGTTATTAACGTTAAAATTATAACAATGTAGTTTTATACCTAGTAATTTTTTTTACAGCCACAACATAATGCATCAAGATGAAAAGAAATACATGTGTAATATTTGCAATAAATCATTTAAAAGGGTATGTATTTACTTAGTTTTATTAATTTAATATTACTTAATTGTGATACTAGCTTTTACCTGCGGCTTTGCCCGAGTATTCCTATTTTATCCCATGGTAGCATTTAATCGGGATAAAATGTCCTATCCTATCACTTAGTCGCGGAGAACCTAACGGGTAACCGGGGCTCCGGCTCGACGTGCAGGAGAAGGAACGGGGTGGTTTTTAGTCAGTAAGAGTCTGACACTCCCTCCCGCCTCACCCAGGCGGGAGCAGTCATTCGATGATTTCCCCCTTAAAAAGAGAAATCCTATAACTTAACCACGGACAATTACCCAAAAAAAGAATCGTTCACATTTATAACATTAGTGAGATGGGCGAATTAGCCAACATAGAACCACAGTCACAACATACGTGTTATTGGTCGCCTGTGCCATCCACATCCACATAATATAACATAACAACACGTCTTTTATCCCCGAAGGGGTAGGTAGAGGTGCACATTATACCACTGTATAATGTAACACCCACTTTTCACTATTTACGTTAAGAGTCCCATGTAATAGGGGGTGAGTCTATTGCCATATACCGGGCACAATTCCAGACTCCGTGCTACTGAGATTTTTTTTTTAAATTCAGTAATACTTTGCCCAACCCGGGAATCGAACCCGAGACCCCTTGCCCGGCAGTCGCACTTGCGACCACTCGGCCAACGAGGCAGTCTGTACCATCAGTAGTATCCAGTAGATAATAAAACGTAATATCTGAACTTGCATTTTTTTACAGAAACCAATTTTAAAGCGGCATATGATGATACACAATTTTGGTAGTAAACCCATCCCATGCGAACTATGTCCAATGACGTTTATTACTAAGTACAACTTACGACATCACATGCGCGTGCATACTGGCGAGCGACCTTTTAAATGCGAGGTAAGGCAATTGTTTGTTTTTTTCCTTTTAAAAAACGTTCCCGCACTCTAGGATTTTTATTTGTGCCGTGGGTGCGTTTACAAACGTATAAATTCAAATACACTTCATACCCAGACCTGAGACAGAATCTGTGATCACATAAAGAGTTGTTTAGAGCGGAAATTGAACCTACGATTCGTCGCGCAGCGCAGTTCAGCTACTACTGCAACGTTGCTGTCAAACAAAACAATATGTTTGAAATACAATTTCTTGAACCTGATAATTTAAAAGACACATAATTCAAGTAAACTGTTCAATATTTTCAGATTTGTTCGCAACCATACAGCTACAAACATGACTTCAATAGACACTGTCTAAAGAAGCACGGCGTGTTTTTGAAACGAAGATCGGTGCGTGTTATGAATGACGAAGTACTACAACAAGAGAGGGCCCTTATGAGAGAACTGTCACTTCGTGCTCATGGGATTATAAAGGATGATGAAGTTAAAAACCCATTCGACGGCCCTCAGGCGGCGCAGGCGTATGAACAAACCATGAAAGCCATTGCAGCCAACAAAATACCAATTATATTTTGAATAATACCCTCACTTTTTATTAATGGCAACTGATCCAATTCATACTTGCCTTTTAACATTAGCTTGTAAATTATATCAAGGACATATTATATGGGAAGATATAGGGCTCAAATTAGACAGATTACCCTATGCAATACATATGTATTTTAAAATACAGAATAGAAATATTTACAATTTTATTATGTTTACAAGAATTATAATTTTTCATGATGATAACACACTTATATATAAATAAATGTTGATTAGATGTGTAACTTTGGTTTTCTTTTATATTCCTTAACCGTTGTGAATACTACAATGTGCAACATTAATAAATAAATAATATAATCATTAAGCACCAAACTCGTCATCATCATATTATCAGACCCAAGACGTCTTGTGTAAGACACCCTGAGACTGCTAAACAGACCTCCCCAATTTCTTTTAGATAGGTAGGTATCTATTCTAACCTAGGTATCCAACACCTAATGAAAGAAAATAAAATCGCAAGAACAGTACGATTTTTCAGGTCTAATTGCTTAACACTGGGTATATTTCTAAACTTCTAAATCTTCTTGAGAGTGTATTCCGAAAACTCAATACTTTGCTAATCCCACCTGCTTTTTCTTCAAGTCGCTTCTTATCATATTTCACACTAGGCCAGGGTCTTTATTTGGTGAATGTGGGGTAGATTGAAGCACAATTGATGTCAGAGGTAAGGGTAACTAATTACATAACTGTCGATTTCATTAACCGACCTAAATCGAAAATCTGCAGATAAGGGGGGAAAAATCATCGAGGATAGGAGTGTCAGACTCTTACTGACTAAAGACCACTCCGTTCCTACTCCCGGACTTCGAGCGGGAGCCCCGGCAGCCCGTTAAGTCCTCCGCGACTCCGTATCGGCATCAACCCTATTGAACCTCATCCGTAGTGGTTTGATGGCTCTTTGAGGCGCGCGCTGACCGCTACACGCCATACGCTTGGGTCTGGTCTGGTCTGGCGAGCAACCCATGCTCACCGTCCTCAGGCCCGTGCTTACGGTGGCCGGAGATCGTCCCGCGATCCCCGACGCCCGGAGTGTCCTTCGCGACGGCTGGGTTGTGAGGAGGCAGCGCTTCGCTGCCGCACGCGCTCCTTAGCTAGTATGACTGCTTCGCAAAAGGAGATCTGCAAACATTAGTTAGGTATATGGAGATTCTGCCATAAATTGACCTTAATCTGGATTTTGGATTAAGGAAGGTTATTGAAGCCAGCTCTAAATGACCGACTTTTACTGTCATACAAAAGTATTTTATTAGACTTTACGAATTTTACTTTATAATTAATGTCAGACTAGTCGAATCAATAAACCAGAGGCCTTAGTACGAGTTTGTTTTACGTTTAAAGTAATCGTAACGAGTTCGCGTTCGGCGCTCCGATTGGTTGCTTTATTGGCGCCGGCCAATCAGAGTGCCGAACGCGAACTCGTTACGAATACTTTAAACGTAAATGAAACTCATACTAAGGCCTCTGGGCTTGATAAATAATAGACGACTAGTGACGACTACCTGCATTCAAAATACACACATTCTTTCGATAAAACGTGACTTGTTCCTTGTTCGAGGCGAAGTAAAATAAAATTTATTAGTTACTTTGGTAAGTACGTACCTGCAACAAGCAGCCTTCAGATAATACTTACCGCGCTTAATTAATCTTTATGCGTAGGAATGGGTGATACCTACCCATTATCCCCGATCCCTATAACCCCTGTCACAAAGTCCATTACGAAGAAAAAGGCTTTTGTTGCCCCCTACAAAAGAGTAGGTAATTTAATACCACTTATCTTTGACCAGTTATAAATAACACAAGGCGGCGTAACTTCTAAGTATCTAATGGACCCTTTTATCCGCCTATCAATCAATTTCTACTATATAAGGGAGAATTTTTTCCCAACACTCTCAGTCTTTTACGAAAACTGGAGAAAGCTGTAGCTAGTCATGGTAAGTTCTACATTCAGTATTATTTCTAGTTTTATGAACTAGGTATTTTATAGTTGCTGTACCTATCTAGATAAAATCCAATAAATACTAGATAATACCTATTCTAAATCATATTAAGCGATAGTTTATATTTAAGTAGGTACTGGAAACATTTTTTTTATATTAATTAGCCTTGAATTGTAGTCAGTTGTTATCAAGTTGGTTTCACATAGTTCTCAATTTCTGCTCACCCCTCCGAGAAAGAATATATCTATTTTTTTAAAAGGAATCCTAAAGATGAAATTTAGTAGCCGACTGTACTTGTCTAATTAAACTATAACTACATTATACGATGAGAAGTGTTCAGGCGTCACCTGGTTTAAATTTACCTGCCTACGCTGCTAGTACGCGATGGTAGGAAAACCTGTTACCTACTTACTTTTTTTTTTCAGATAACACGGCCGCTTGTCTTCGTTATAGTATGTTTTGGATTCTTCATTTTGCTTCAATCGTTGGTACCAAAGGTGATGGCATTGAAGAACTCCAACGTTGACGAATACATGCTCGAAGATCAAAGGACTCGTAAAAGAAAAAACTATGTCGTGCGATTGGCTAGAGACGGTGAAATATTAGGGAATTCTGGAAATTTAGGTACAATCTATGACACAGATTCTTTTCAACCGGACCCTACGAATCCTGAAGAGCTGTCCGCATTTATTGTGGACTACGCAAACATGATACGGAACGATGTCATCTTATTAGATAAATCTGTTGAAACAAGGACACGGAAAAGGGGTAACATTCAAGTTAAGAAGTATAACAATGTGAGTATTCTCTTGAAAGTTTCTAATTTCTACCGCCATGCAATGTTACGATGTCTATTTAGCATATACTGTAGTAGTGTAGTGTGGACATACCTGCCCTGCAATCCGTCAACTCCTCTAGTATCTATTTCTGACGGATTTAGTGACAACTTGTACCTAATTGTTTTTTTTTACTCTTAGTTAAGCGATCAGTTTGAACATTGGGTCATTTCCCACTTTGACAATACCTACTTCGATTTACCGTTGACAATTTAAATTATAGATTTGTTAATTGGGGATAGACATAATCTTTACATATTATTATATTTTGTTTTCAGCAAGCGCTACCAGATCCGCCCTGCACGTGTAATTTTAGCGTAAGTGTAATTACTTCCATTATTAAATATTAATCATAGTTACATACTACATGTTGTTATTTATAAGTGAATCACTTTTCAGAAAGTTATAGAAGATTTTGGTGAAAATACGTATCCACGTTTCGTGGAAACTAGAAATTGTACTCAAACGCGACAACTGGCGTGCCGTCGACCGTATGTCTGCAAAGAAAACTACTACAATGTAAATATGAACCTTATTATGATATCAATAAGATTATTTTTGTAAATTACCTAACGTTAACGTTTTTAACGCTATTTTTTCTATTTTAGCTAACAATATTGAAAAGACGGGAGTTTCAACATCAAATGTCTTCAATAGATATACCATCTGATTTAAAATTTCGATGGATTGCGGAATATCGACCTATTAGCGTTGGATGTGTTTGCACTAGAGATTACTACGATATTGAAAATTAAACGTATATGACGGAAAATCGAGAAGCAGAAAAGAAGAATCGAAAATGTCTTTCCAAAGGTATCATTTAAATCTGTGAATAGAGCAATCTTGGGCATATTTTGAAAATAAAACTGTAGATCTTATGTTGCATTTTTATTTGCTATCCATAATCAAATATTGATTTTATTTTATTGCACATTGCTTAATTGCAATTTTGAAATGAATTTAATTATTACATTAATAATCATTTCAAGTACTATAAAATCATATCACCTAGTGTTTTCTCATAAATATAAAATTTTTCAAATAAGGCAGAAATATGTAGTGTATTAACTTATTCTTTAAAATAATTCAAACATAAGTTATTCAAAAACGTACTTTAATTAAGTATTAACATTGACTAAATATTTACATAATCAAACATTGTTTATTGCTTTTATTATTAAGTGTTGAATAACATTATTGATCAACAATAAAGTACTGCATGCAGAAACGAGTCTTTTTACAAGTAACATACACTTGGGAGCAAAGTAACAAAGCCACTAGTCCACTGTGGTTTTTTCTTTTCATATTTTGTTAATAATATTTTATGATACAATTTGGTAATGTATGTCGTATAAATTAAGTTACATTTAAAATGAGAGTTTTAAAAAAGCGGTACTGACTCCATTTATTTGCTTCCAAGTATAGTTTAAAGAGACAAAACACAGAAATTATAATTTTTACGTCAAAAAAAGTTTCAAACTAATGTGTTTGTATAACTTGAATGGAAGATACTTGTTTCGGGTTTCGTAGATCACGTTAACGAGAGTACAGTTTCATGGGCCGCTGGAGTTGGGACCTCTCCTAATTGCGGCAAAATATGTGTTATCGCTACCCTCGTCTCGTTCATCATGCCCATCTCTCGGCGCAGTATGTCCTCAGTCACGGTATGAATAGATTTAAACTTCAAGTTAATCCCATGTACTTTGTAAACATGGTTATTCAAGTTCACTTTGTAACTGAATGCCACGTTGCAAACCTGGAAAATAAATCATTTAGTACATATGTGAAGAAACAACATAGTATAGTTAATAGAAGTAAAATTTTGTGAAATTACAAAACTTTATAATTTCGATTTCGTAAATATCGTTCTTGAAGATGTAGTCCTGTTTGCTTTGAAGAACAACTTGGTAACATTCATATATTCAACAGTCACTAACTAACTAACTAGTTAAAAGTACGATACATCGCATTCCGCTGTACAGGAGACCAGTCGCAGCACCCAGAAAAATGTAGTGTAGTACGTAGTTTGTTTAGTTTGAATGTTACAATCATATTGAGCCTACTGACCTCGCAAGTATAGGGCCTTTCGCCAGTGTGGGTAATCATATGGTTCTGGAGGTGGTGGCTTTGCGTGAATTTTTTATTGCAGTAGTTACAGTTGTACCGTTTTTCTCCAGTATGGATCGCCATATGGCGGCGCAGACCTGCCATCTGGAACGTGACAACAAGATATAGAGAATATAACGCACCTGACATGTGTACGGTCGCTCCCCGGTGTGCATTCTCTCGTGGTTTTGCAACTGATGTTTCGCGTTGAACGACATTGTGCAAGTGTTACATTTGTACGGTTTGTAACCGGAATGTATGCGCAGGTGCCGATTCAGATCACAACGCTGAAATACATCAATTGCATTTTGCACTTATTTTTTCCATTAATTTTATCAAGCACAAATCAGAGGATTTTGTAATATAGCCATTAAAAAAATGTAAAACTATAAATGTTAACGAAATACTTACAGCAATAAACCGCTTCGTGCACAAATTGCAGGAAAATGGTCTTTCTCCCTTGTGAATTAAATTATGCCTGAAATCAACAAGAAATAAGTTTAGAGAAGTTGTTAAATAACAAAATAAATGGTTATTTTCTAAAAATGTCTTGCTTACCTAACCAGTGACTTCTGACTGTAAAAACCAGCTCCACAAACTTCACAAATATGGTCTTTTATTCCTGTATGTTGTTTAGCATGAATTAGTAAATTACTTTTCTGTGCAAATGATCTTGGACATTGCGCACAGGTATACCTCTTCTTTTCTGAAATATAATAATGTAGAATAATTTAAATTACTTAAAACATTATAAACTCACTTAATTTATAGACATACCAATAGGAAAATATGTTTGAAAAAGTAACAATTTCAACTTACCCTGATGTGTTGCCATATGGTTGCCTAATGTAAATGTTAGTATACCACACACAGGACAGACAAGCTTCTCTCGTTGCTTAGACACACTAGTCCGTACCATTCTGACAGGTTTTTCTCTGCGCACTACTTTCACACTCTCAGATGACGTAGACTGAGACTTGGATTTATACCCTGCATGGACCTTCAAAATTGTTGCATCTTTGGGTCTCTTCAACAAGATAGGGGAACCTCTGGAACCATTCTTCAAAATTGGATCTGTAAATTATACATTAAAAATTAATTCAAAATTATTTGCAGTTCCAAATTGGAAGGAATAAACAATTTTTATTCAGCAACTAAGCAACTAAAATTTTCACATGCTTAATTATAAGAATAGTACTTACAGCAAGTAATAGTAGTTGATCTTGACTTATTCTCATCTCTCGATCTACCAGAATCATATTCAGGATCATCCTTAATTTTTTTCAGCACTTTTACTTTTCTGACAACAGTTTTACCTTTGAACACCTTGATATCTGATAATTTAGGTTTCTTGAATTTGTTCTTAGGCTTCTCTACAGGAGGAACGTAATCATCATCGTCATCATCTTGGAAAAAATCATCTTCTAAATATTCGGCCTGAAGTAGAAATAACATGAGGTTTCAGTTCTAGAAGGAGATTGACAACACTATGTATTGACCTGACAAATTATGTCAGTACTTAAACATTTTTTAAAACTAGTGTAACTGCTTTTGCTCTATGCTGAGAAAAATAAAAAAGCATTGAATACTCACATCTGGATCACCTTTAGCGGAATAATCAGAGTTGCCTGATGAGGTCCAAGTTAGTTGCACATCATCAGTGGTATCTAATTTAATATCCTCTGCATTTGGATCAACTTTCCTTATAACAGTATTAGCAATGACAATATCTTTTCCCTCCATTGTTTCGATAGGCTTATTGCTTTCTGGTACTTCAATTTCCATTTCCCACTTGGGTTCTGACTTTATAGTTAATGGTCCTATTTCACTCTTAATATCCGTAAAGGAATCAAATGCAATTTTCTTAGTAGGTACATTTCCTTTTTCTCTTGCTAATATTTTCCTCAGTTTCTTATCTGACCTGTAAATGTTGAGTATTAATGACCAAATGTACTGGATTGACAATTTTAGTTATAAATTCATATTTATATTATACATAGTTATAGATAAAGCAACAGTCTACACAGAATCTACTAGGATAATAACATTTTTATGCAGGTTCTAATACCAGTGCAATGAATATTTAGTGAAGTATTTCTGGCAATTCAAATCAGGTTAGTGAAATAAGAAACAACATATAGATGAGATTTAAAATAGGTTACTTATAGATAAATAAAATACCATATAGTTTTAGTAATGTACAGACATTTAAAAGAACACAATATACATTACTCTTATAATATGAAAGGTGGTTTAAAATTATTTTGTTAACACTTTAAAATAATCTCTTTGAGAGCCATAATAATTAAGATTGAGTTTACCTTTCAGCCACAGTTTTAAGTAAGTATGCCTTTTCCAAAGTTGTGCAGCATTTGAGGCAAATCTTTTCAGGTAAGCCATCATTAGAGGATACCTGAAACAGCAATTTGTGATGCTGAATACTAAAAACCACATCAAATAAATAACACAAAACGACATTTAATTTAACATTATGCTTAGTTTATTGCTAAACAATACATATGAACGACAATTAATTCGACAAATGGAAAACTTTGATGAAATTAATTTTAATTTTTGATTTATGTTTGATAAGTACTGATTTGATAAACGATCTCTTCGTTTGTTTTGATCACTATTTCAGAATCTGATTGTGATAGTTGTAACAAACTGACAAGTTCCTTTACCAAGACCCGCTATTTAGTGCGTACAAAATAGAGGCATTTATAACTTACCTTTACATCGGCAATCGCTGTAAGCATTTCAGCATAATTACCCGACAACTTATATCGAAATAGAGGACATAATGGTTTATTGTTTGTCAAGCATATACGACACGATTTCATGTCGATAGTATCAATAGGATCAAGCATAATTCAATAACAAAACAAAACTAAAGTGATGGCAGTAATCCGTTTTTATATCGAAGCCCGAAGCACTTCACTTTTCCTCTAAAATTCTTTAGGGATTGATAGCTGAGTGTGATTTTACGACTATCTCTTCTTCACCACCTCACTACGCCACCATAGACAATGAAAAGGAAAAGGTATGCGTCGCATCATTCATCTTTCGAAATATAATGTTGCCAGTATTATTTTCTTTTATACTTTTGCGCTAAGCTTGAAAACCAGTGTTATTTTCCATAGTTATTTTTGTTTCGTACCAATACTGGGCATTAAATGAATCTTACCTCTGCTATTTCATCTTAAATCTTTATTTTAGGTTATGTCCTTATTCTAGAAATATATCCTTAAAAATATGTCATGTGGGAATAATCTTTGCATTTATATTTATAATCACGTTGATATTTAAAAATATTTTTTATAATAAATTACTCACTCCTATGAATATTTTTGAGTTACTTTAAACCACGGAAACTGTAACAAACAATTATATTTTATGATATTTATACTTTTTAACCTCGAAGAGGAAAAGATTGTCAAACAATCCGACCAGAGACAACTACAGCTCCAAAATATTGCAGAATTGTAGCTGTCAAAATACAAGTCAAGTCAAATGTGTGGTGTTGGTGTGAGAGGAAAACAGGACTAAATTACGGTTTATTTTATGATCTATGTCTAATTCATATAGAATTTACTGAAAGTATTTATGTCTTTACACGTTGCCGTAACATAAGAACACTCATTACTTTTAAAAACTGTTGCGTAAAAAATGTTATAATGGCTACCACCTACGAAAATTGGTTGAGTCGCAGGAAAGGTAAATATTTATAATTTATTTAATAACTATTTAAACATTCTATTAATAAACTGTT